AAAAAACATTTACGTTATTCGATAATAAAACAAAGTGCTTTCGAAAATTTCCGTTAAAGCGTTTATTACTTTACGGGTTAAAAATTTATATTGCTAAACGAAAAAATCGAATTAAAACAAAAAACAAAAATAATTTGGCGGTAAAAAATAAAAAAAAACGAATTATATAATTAGCGTTAACCCGCGCGTTGCCGTTATCGTTATTGCTAGCGCTAAAAAAACCGTTATTATTATCGGGCACTTTACCGGGGGAGTACGGGGAACGGGCTAAGCAAAAAAAACGTTAAAAGCAATGGGATCGGAAAAAAAAAAATAACAATTACCGTTTAACCATTATTACAAACGCCGTTACCGCCGCAATTAACGCGTTTAGCAAAATTAATTTTAGCCGTGCTTTTTTTTTGGAAAAAACCGTTAATTAGCATTGCAACCAATTAAAATTAAAAGTAAAATTGGAAATAACCGGAAACGAAAAAAAGGAAAGTGCAATTAAGCGCCGGAAATAAAAAGCGCGTTAAAAAAAATTAAAACGATAAAAATTAACCGGAAACAATGCAATAAAAAGGTAACGGTTAAAAAGGAAAAAGCATTGCATTAAAAAAAAAAAAATAAAAAAAAGGTAAAAAAAAGGGGGAAAAGGAAAAAAAAAAAAAAAGGAAAAAAATAAGCAAAGCAAAAGGAAAGCACCGGCGAAAAAGCAACTTTCCCGAACCCGCTTAAAGCCATTACGCCGGCGAAAAAAAGCATAATTACTTTCCAAACATAATTATTTACCCTTAACAAAGCTACAAATACCCGAATGGCAAATACAAAAAGCACCGTTACTTTAACGAAAGCAACCAAGCACCGGGCCAATAAAAATACGCACGAAAACGTTAATAAAAATAATTACCAATACTTAATTACATAAAAAAAATAACGATAAAGGATAAATTATACCATACCGGATACGAACCGCACCCGGAAGTATAACGCGGGGCCGGAAAGCGCAAAGCGTTAGCTTTACGCAATAACCACCCGGCTAGCCAAGCTTTTGCTTACTAACGGCAATCGCTAAAGCCACCCCAAAGTAATGGCGCTTTTTTAAAACTACATTTTTTATACGTTTTCTTTATAATTTTTCCATATATTAACCTTTACCTTTACTTTACCATTATACCTTTTTGGCCGGGGGTATAAGGACGCTTTTTTGCCGAAGTACTTATTAGCAATCGAGCGAACCATAGTAAACGGAGCCGGCGGTTTAATACCGACCCGGCACCGGTTCGTAAGCGCAGGGTTTTCCTTTTTAGGCCAAACCCAAGGGTTTCCCCCACGCAATACTTAGCAGTAACACTAAGGTCTTTCTTATAAACAAAACAGAGTATAAATATATATATATATATATATTAAACTTTTTTACGTTATAAGTAAAAATGGAAAATATAATTAGCATTACGCTTTTTTTGCGCATATACATTTTAAAACGCGCGTTTTTCGTTGCTATTATTAAAAAAGCATTTGGATTTTAAAAAAAAACTTTTATTTTTTTAAAAAAACCAAACGCAAAAAAGGTTTAAAAGGAAAAGCCGCATTTTATTTAAATTTAAAATTAATTTAAAGCTTTTATTAAATTATACAACGCGGTAATTAAAAACGGCACATTTTATATCGATTACTTTTAGCAAATCCATTTTGCAACAAACGTTTGCCCTAACGGATTCGGCGGTATATACTTTTAACTTTTACATTTTTTAAAAATTAAATTTACAAAAAAAATAACCAAAAACATTAAAATATGCGGGTTTTTTAACTTTTTGCTTTTAAAAGCGGAAAGGCGGTATTTTATTCCCAAGCTAAAAACATTTGCTATTATTTAAACCCTTATTAAGCTAAAATGGATTGCTTTCGGTTTACGGTTTCCCATTATGGTTTATACAAATTACTTTTCGATTGTGCAATTAATGTTATATGTAACTAAAATTTACGTTAAATTGGAGCTTTGGATTGAAAAGCTTATTAAATTTAATATTAAGCTAAAGCATAAGCCCAATAATGTATTAGTTATTTGCATTGCCGATAGTTTTTTTCGGTTTTATTACAAGTTCCAAAATACCCCCATTTAAATCCGGCACGATTTGGATGTAAAGCAACAATAAAAAGTTGCTTTTACAATAACAACGGGGGCGAAAGCGCCCATTATATTTTTCCTTTAAAGTTTTCTTTATTAGCTTATTTGCTTAATTATATTAGCTTAAAACTTTTTAAAAAATAAAGCGGTTCTTTTAAATACGGCATTTTTAAACATGGCATTAAAATTTAAGCTTTGGTACCAAAACGTTATCTTATTTTTTACAACAAAAATTTAAGCCTTTAAAAATTTCCTTAAATATTAATAACGCTTGGCGATTATGCGCTTTTTTAAATTTTGCATTTTTAATAAAGTTTTTTATAAATTCGAAACCAACGAAAGTTTCGCCAAATGCATTACCGCGGTTTAAATGGATAAAATCCTAAAATAAGCCCATAACTTTTTGTTAAAAACACGGGCAAAACCGCCCGGCAAAAAGCGGGAAGCGTCAAATGCACAAGCGAAACCGCCCGGCAAAAAAGGAAAGAGGGGGCGCTGGCAGCCAGCCGGGCACGGACCCTTTCGGGGACATGCCGGCGAATTACCGGTATTGCGGCCAAAGCATAATGGCAAAGCTAAAAGATAGGGTAAAGTTTAAATTGTACGAAAGCGCTTGGAGCGCGAAGGACTTAAAAAACCAACCCCGCGTGCCCGAAAGGGCACGAAAAAAGGGGAAGTCAAAAAAAAAACAATTTTTGTTGGAAATAGCACCTTTGGTAAGAGATTTACGGAGGCTTAACAAAGGAAACACCGCATCCGGCCCGTAACCCGGTAACTACCCGCCTTTGCACCGATTAACCCCTGACACTTTTGTAAACACTTTTTTAAAACCATTATAGCGAATAATTTCCGGGGGAAATATTAATGGCTAATTTGTTCGGTTAATATTGCAAGGACGTGCTGGAAATGCCTAGCTTGTTAACGGTGCGATCCCCGCGCATTTCGATTACATTATAAAAAATCCACGGTTTTTAACCCTTTTAAAATGGTTAAAATAAATTTTATAAACTTTATAAACCCTCCGGCTATTAACGGTTTTCGGTACATTTTTATAGCCGTCGATTACTTTAGCAAATTTACCACATTAATTGCTTGCAAAAAAGCGGATGGGCACGTTATAACTTAAACGTGGCTAAAGCAATGGTTTTCGATTATAAAGTGGCTTAATTCCATTTACTGTAACAACGGCTTACATTTTAAAAATGCCGGACTTTATTAGCTTATGCAGCATTACGGCATACAAATGTTTTTCGCCCCCGTTACGCATTTTTAAAGCGTGGAATAAGCCAAAAGGACGGTGCAATTTGTAAAGCAGCAATTAATAAAATGGGTGTTGGTAAGAGTCTGGTACTCTTGTTGAACGGCTCGGAAATTTCCTGTAGAGGGTGAACAAAGATCTTTATGATTTGGGGAAAAGTCTTATTATTGTGCACTCTTGTGTTGAGCATAAGGAAGAAGAACCTCTGGCGCCGAAGGGGTGCCAGAGGTAGGGTTTATATACAAGGGTTAAGGGGCCGTGCCCAAGCCACGGGGCTTACAAGGGCCCAAGCCTTATAATTATATCCTCCTTTGGCCCAAAACAAGTGAATCTTTTCTTTTATTGCATGCGCCGGAATATGATCCGACAATGGGGGCATTTTAAATCCAAAAAAAAGTGTTTGGGCTGGCATTTTATCCTTTCGAACATTATACTAAACCTTAATTATTGGTACATACCGTTTTTCGGAACCTTTTTTTCCCAGGTTATAATTGGATATAAGCTTTTGCATACGCTTTTGGAAAATAAGCATTTCCCGTTGGACATAAGCTTTTTGGATTTTAAGCAGCAGCTTATTATTTTTAAAAAGGCAGGTTTCGCTTACAACGATACGCGAAAAATTTTAAAAAAAAATTTAGCAGCCTTTTACGCTTAAGCCGGAAACGAATTTAAAGTTAAAAAAAATAAAAGGGACCGTTGCTTTAAATTAGCCGTCGATACCCCCGTTTTCGAACGGATTAATAAAAAAAGGGAAAATTCCAAAAACAAATTTAAATTTGCTGCTTTTAAACTTTCCCCAAATACGTTGCAAATTACCATTTTAAGTTTTACGTATAGGTAAAGGAAACGCTTGAGCCTGTTTTACCAAATAAATGGAAAAAAATATACATTTACAATTTAAAGCTTAATAACGTTGTATTTCCTTTACTTAGTTTAAACGAAAATTAAAGCTACTTTTTTTTATTTGTTAAAACGTTTGAAAGGAAATTTGCGGAAAATTTGCTTGTGGTTAAAAATTCCGTTACTTTCGGCTTGTAACGCTTGTATTATCCACTTTTTTTATTTATTTATGCAACCTTTTTTTATTTTCAGCAAATTTTTTTTTATTTTTTGTATACCATTTTTTTAAGTTTGGGTTAAAAAGCATACAAGCTTATTAAGGCAATAATATAAGTTAGTAATTTTTTTAGCCCCTTTTTTATTGCTTTTTTTTTGCTTTATGCAGGGTTTTGAACAGCTATTTATGGGCAGCTAGCGAGGAGGATGCAAACGATAAGCAGCAGCTGGTTGCGGGAAGTACGAGATATAAAATAGTTGGAGTTCTGGCTTGGTGTGAGGGCACATTTAAAACTCCAGGGCAATGTTAGGTGGGATAAGTCATTAGCCTACGCACGGGCCTTAAAGCCCACCTTATGCACTCTTCGTAGCACTCGGCCCTCCGGGCCTTAGCCTAGAACAAAACACCGCACTTTTCATCACCAATCACGCGCATTGGTTTTAGAGTGGAGCATGAGGCTCATGCCATTTGCCTTTGCACTATTATGTAAGCACTCTAGTCCCAATGAGGCTTAGGCAGAGCCTGGCGCGTCTTGCAGGCCGACTGCACGCCTGAGAAATCTCAAGACCTCCAACGTTGTGATCGCGCAAAACCCTTCGAGCTGTCAACCACGACGAGGGAACCACCGTTCCCATCAACCGCCATCGCTGTGGACCTCTGCGGTGAATCCTCAGCCCTACGCAGGCCTCACGACGGACTCGACCTTTTGCTTACAAACGCACTCGCCCGGAAACAATCCGAGCCTGGCGTGTCGCCGCGAGCTTTTTGAGCACCAAGCCTGCTTCGGCAGCAACGGGTGGTGAAGTCGGGCTCACGCTCATCGGCGCAAGCCAACATGGCGTTCCCGCCGCCTCCTCCCGGATGGGGCCCTCCGCCGCCGCCTCCTTCCGGCCCTCCACCTCCGCCATCGTCGGCGTTTCCTCCTCCGCCTCCTCCCTCCGCGTCGTCGCTCCCCCCACCCCCATCGATTCCTGCGCCGCCGCCTCCCGGCTACGGATCATCTAGCGACTCACAGGCGGCCAAGTTGGAACAGAAAAAGAAAGAATGGCTCCGCCTGCAGAGGAACCGGTTTGGCGAGAAGCGCAAGGGCGGCTTCGTTGAGACGCAGAAGGCAGACATGCCCCCGGAGCATCTGCGGAAGATCGTCAAGGACATTGGCGACGTTTCACAGAAGAAGTACACCAACGACAAGCGCAGCTACCTGGGCGCACTGAAGTTCATGCCTCATGCCGTCATGAAGCTCCTGGAGAACATGCCCATGCCCTGGGAGTCGGCAAGAGAGGTCAAGGTGCTCTACCATGTCAATGGCTGCCTCACTCTGGTGAACGAAGTGCCGCGCGTCATCGAGCCAGTCTTTCATGCGCAGTGGGCGACCATGTGGATTGTCATGCGTAAAGAGAAGCGCGACCGCAGGCTATTCAAGCGAATGCGCTTCCCTCCGTTCGACGACGAGGAGCCTCCGCTGTCCTGGTCCGAGAACATCGAAGATGTCGAGCCTTTGGAGCCAATCCAGCTAGAGCTAGACGAGGACGAAGACGAGCCCGTCTATGAATGGTTCTACGAGCATCGGCCGCTGTTAGACACACCGCACGTCAACGGGCCGAGCTACAAGACGTGGAACATGACCCTGCGTCAAATGGCGACGCTCTACCGGCTAAGCCTGCCGCTGATTACCGACGTCACGGACCCCAACTACTTCCACCTCTTCGAGAGCAAGGCCTTCTTCACTGCCAAGGCGCTCAATGTCGCACTCCCTGGTGGACCGCGCTTCGAGCCTCTGTACAAGGATATCGACCCCAACGACGAGGAATTTGGCGAGTTCAACGCAATCGATCGCATCATCTTCCGGAATCCCACACGCACCGAAGTTCGAGTTGCCTTCCCTTTTCTGTATAATCAGCTCCCTCGGAGCGTGCAGATATCATGGCACTCGCATCCGCAGGTTGTCTACCAGCGGACACAAGACCCGAGCTTGCCTGCTTTCTACTTCGACAAAAGCCTCAACCCAATCTCGTCGCGCGCTGTGGCCCCCAAGAACCTGGCAGTGAGCCACGAGGACGACGTGTTTGGGCCGGGCAACGACGAGGAGCCCGAGGAGGGTGCATTTGAACTCCCTCCTTCCTGCGAGCCTTTCCTCAACGACAAGGAGCTTTTTACCGAAGATACAGCCGATGCCATTCAACTCTGGTGGGCTCCCTACCCGTTCGATCGCCGATCCGGGCGGATGGTTAGGGCTCAGGATGTGCCCCTTATCAAGCAGTGGTACCTCGAGCACTGCCCTCCTAAGCAGCCCGTCAAGGTCCGCGTGTCGTACCAGAAGCTGCTCAAAAGCTACGTGCTCAACGAGCTGCACAAGAAGAAGCCCAAGACAACTCAGAAGCAGAGCCTGCTCCGAACACTGAAGCAGACCAAATTCTTCCAGCAGACCACCATCGACTGGGTTGAGGCTGGTCTGCAGGTTTGCCGACAGGGCTTCAACATGTTGAATCTCCTGATCCACCGCAAGAACCTGACGTACCTCCACCTTGACTACAACTTCAACCTGAAGCCCGTCAAGACCCTGACGACAAAGGAGCGGAAGAAGTCTCGATTTGGAAACGCGTTCCATCTCATGCGTGAGATTCTGAGGCTTACCAAGCTGATTGTCGACGCCCAGGTGCAGTACCGACTGGGAAACATCGATGCCTTCCAGCTCGCAGACGGTATTCTCTATGCATTCAACCATGTCGGTCAACTCACAGGCATGTACCGGTACAAGTACAAGCTCATGCACCAAATTCGCTCCTGCAAGGACCTCAAGCATCTGATCTACTATCGGTTTAACGCTGGCCCTGTCGGCAAGGGCCCTGGATGCGGTTTCTGGGCGCCCGCCTGGCGAGTCTGGCTGTTCTTCATGCGCGGTATCATCCCTCTTCTGGAGCGATGGCTTGGAAACTTGCTCTCGCGCCAGTTTGAGGGCCGACACAGCAAGGGTGTGGCAAAGACGGTCACCAAGCAGCGGGTCGAGTCTCACTTCGATCTCGAGCTCCGCGCATCAGTCATGGCAGACCTGATGGACATGATGCCCGAGGGCATTAGGCAGAACAAGGTCAACACTGTGCTCCAGCACCTGTCTGAAGCCTGGAGATGCTGGAAGAGCAACATCCCATGGAAGGTGCCCGGCCTGCCTGCCGCCATCGAGAACATCATCCTGCGATACGTCAAGGCCAAGGCCGATTGGTGGATCTCGGTTGCGCACTACAACCGTGAGCGTATCCGGCGTGGTGCCACTGTGGACAAGACGGTTGCAAAGAAGAACGTGGGCCGTCTCACTCGTCTTTGGCTGAAGGCGGAGCAGGAGAGACAGCACAACCATATGAAGGACGGCCCGTACGTGTCTTCTGAGGAGGCTGTCGCGATCTACACCACAACTGTGCACTGGCTTGAATCCCGCAAATTCTCGCCCATCCCATTCCCCAGCGTCTCTTACAAGCACGACACCAAGATCCTTATCCTCGCCCTCGAGCGGCTGCGAGAGTCGTACTCCACCAAGGGTCGTCTGAACCAGAGCCAGCGCGAGGAACTGGCTCTTATTGAGCAGGCTTACGACAGTCCGGGCACCACGCTGGAGCGCATCAAGCGCTTCCTTCTCACGCAGCGGGCGTTCAAGGAAGTCGGCATCGACATGAACGACAACTACAGTACCATTAACCCGGTCTATGACATTGAACCTATCGAGAAGATCTCGGACGCTTACCTCGACCAATACCTCTGGTACCAGGCTGACCAGCGCCACTTGTTCCCGGCATGGATCAAGCCCGCAGACTCCGAGGTGCCGCCCTTGCTGGTGTACAAGTGGGCGCAGGGAATCAACAACCTGGACCAGGTCTGGGAAACCAAGGATGGAGAGTGCAATGTCATGATTGAGACCCAGCTCTCCAAGGTCTACGAGAAGATCGAGCTCACCCTCCTGAACTCGCTGCTGCGACTGATCATGGACCACAACCTGGCGGATTACATCACTGCCAAGAACAACGTCACGCTCACGTACAAAGACATGAACCACGTGAACAGCTACGGCATGATCCGCGGCCTGCAGTTTTCTGCCTTCGTGTTTCAGTACTATGGCCTGATTCTCGACCTGCTCCTTCTGGGGCCGCAGAGGGCTAGCGAGATTGCAGGCCCAGCCCAGTCACCCAACGACTTCTTGCAGTTCCGGGATAGGGACACGGAGTCGAAGCATCCCATTCGGCTCTACACGCGTTACATCGACCGCATCTGGGTCTTCCTCAGATTCACTGCTGAGGAATCCAGGGACCTGATCCAACGGTTCCTCACAGAGCAGCCCGATCCCAATTTCGAGAACGTTATCGGATACAAGAGCAAAAAGTGCTGGCCCAGAGACTCCCGAATGAGACTCATGCGCCACGATGTCAACCTCGGCCGGGCTGTCTTCTGGGATCTGAAGAACCGACTTCCTCGGTCCGTCACCACCATTGAGTGGGAGGACACGTTTGCGAGCGTCTATAGCAGAGACAATCCCAACCTCCTCTATTCCATGTGCGGCTTCGAGGTCAGGATCTTGCCCAAGATTCGGAACCAGAATGACGAGTTCCCCGTCAAGGAGAGTGTCTGGTCGCTAGTCGACAACACGACCAAGGAGAGAACTGCACACGCTTTCCTCCAGGTCACGGAAGAGGATGTCCAGAAGTTCAACAACCGCATCCGACAGATCCTCATGTCTTCGGGATCAACGACCTTCACCAAGATCGCCAACAAGTGGAACACTGCCCTGATCGCCCTGTTCACGTACTACAGGGAAGCGGCTGTGTCGACAGTCAACCTTTTGGATACGATTGTTAAGTGTGAGACCAAGATCCAGACGCGCGTCAAGATTGGACTGAACTCCAAGATGCCTTCGCGTTTCCCTCCGGCCGTTTTCTACACCCCCAAGGAGCTCGGTGGCCTGGGCATGATCTCGGGGTCACACATTCTCATTCCCACCAGCGACAAGAGAATCAGCAAGCAAACAGACATGGGTGGCATCTCGCATTTCCGCGCCGGCATGACCCACGACGAGGAGACATTGATTCCCAACATTTTCCGATACATCACCAGCTGGGAGGCCGAGTTTATTGACTCGCAGCGTGTGTGGACCGAGTACTCCCAGAAGCGCCTCGAGGCAAACCAACAGAACCGGCGTCTGACGCTCGAGGATCTCGAGGACAGCTGGGACAAGGGCCTGCCTCGCATCAATACGCTGTTCCAGAAGGACAGGAGTACGCTGAGCTTCGACAAGGGCTTCCGCGCCCGCTCGGAGTTCAAGATCTACCAACTCATGAGGAACAATCCCTTCTGGTGGACGAGCCAGAGGCACGACGGTAAACTGTGGAACCTCAACGCATACCGTACCGATGTCATCCAGGCGCTCGGTGGTGTGGAGACCATTCTCGAGCACACCCTATTCAAGGCCACGGGTTTCGCATCATGGGAGGGTGAGTGCTATTCTATTCCCTCATATCTTGGCTGCTTTGTTGTTAGAGCGTGCTGTAATCGAAAGGAAATGAGCTAACTGGCCTTTTTGCAGGTCTTTTCTGGGAGCGAGCCTCCGGATTCGAAGAGTCGATGAAATTCAAGAAGCTCACGAATGCCCAGCGGTCTGGTCTCAACCAGATTCCTAATCGTCGCTTCACCCTCTGGTGTATGTTTCCCCTTTTCCACATTTCCACAGCCTCCCTATCACTCTCGTACTGACTAGAAGCCTGATCTACAGGGTCACCTACCATCAACCGAGCCAACGTCTACGTTGGTTTCCAGGTCCAGCTTGATCTTACAGGAATCTTCTTGCACGGAAAGATCCCTACCCTCAAGATCTCACTCATCCAGATCTTCCGAGCCCATCTTTGGCAGAAGATTCATGAGAGTGTCGTGGTATGTATCCGCTACTTGTGGTCTACCCATGATTTGTATGTCGGCCGTCCATGCGTGCTGACCTGTCCACTTCCTAGATGGATCTTTGCCAAGTTTTTGACCAAGAGCTCGAGTCTCTGGGCATCGAGAGCGTGCAGAAGGAAACGATCCACCCCCGAAAGTCGTACAAGATGAACAGCTCATGTGCGGACATCCAACTTTTCGCCACTCACAAGTGGAATGTTACGCGTCCCGCGATGCTCTTCGACACCAAGGACACGCTCGAGCCGACGACGACGAGCAAGTTCTGGATCGATGTCCAGCTCCGGTATGGTGACTACGACTCTCATGACATTGAGCGCTACGTCAGAGCCAAATACCTGGACTACACAACCGACAGCATGAGTTTGTACCCGTCAGCAACGGGCCTGATGATCGGCATCGACCTCGCCTACAACCTCTACAGTGCCTACGGCCAGTACTTCCCTGGTCTGAAGGTGCTGGTGCAGCAAGCCATGGCCAAGATCATGAAGGCGAACCCGGCTCTGTACGTGCTTCGCGAGCGCATCAGGAAAGGTCTGCAGCTGTACGCGTCCGAAAGCAACCAAGAGTTCCTCAACTCGCAGAACTACTCGGAGCTCTTCAGCAACCAGACTCAGCTGTTCATCGACGACACCAACGTTTACCGTGTGACGATCCACAAGACATTCGAGGGCAACTTGACGACGAAGCCCATCAATGGCGCCATCTTCATCTTTAACCCCCGTACCGGGCAGCTGTTCCTCAAGATCATTCACACGAGCGTCTGGGCCGGACAGAAGCGTCTAGGGCAGCTGGCCAAGTGGAAGACGGCCGAAGAAGTTGCAGCGCTCATTCGGTCGTTACCCGTGGAGGAACAGCCCAAACAGCTCATTGTCACGAGAAAGGGTCTGCTGGATCCGCTCGAGGTCAACCTGCTTGACTTCCCCAACATCTCGATCCGGGCTTCGGAGCTACAGCTGCCGTTCCAGGCGGCCATGAAGGTGGAGAAGCTCGGAGACATGATTCTGCGGGCAACAGAGCCGCAAATGGTGCTCTTCAACCTGTACGACGAATGGCTGAAGAGCATATCGTCGTACACGGCCTTCTCGCGTCTGGTGCTGATCCTGCGGTCGCTACATGTAAACCAGGACAAGACCAAGCTCGTTCTGAGGCCGGACAAGACGGTCATCACGCAGGACCACCATATCTGGCCGTCCTTCACCGACGAGGAGTGGATCAAGGTAGAGACGCAACTCCGTGACCTGATCCTCAACGACTATGGAAAGAAGAACAACGTCAATGTGTCGAGTCTTACCAGCTCTGAAGTGCGGGATATCATTCTGGGCATGGAGATTTCGGCACCTTCGATGCAGCGGCAGCAGGCGGCAGAGCTGGAGAAGCAGCAGCAGGAGCAGCAACAGCTCACAGCGGTGACGACCAAGACGCAGAATGTGCACGGCGAAGAAATCATCGTGACGACGACATCTCAGTTCGAACAGCAAACATTTGCGTCAAGGACCGAGTGGCGCACGCGCGCCATCGCGACGTCCAACCTGCGCACGAGGTCGAACAACATCTACGTGTCGTCGACGGACGGCAGTCTGGACAACACCACGTACGTGATGCCCAACAACATCCTCAAGAAGTTCATCACTATCGCGGACCTGCGGGTTCAGGTTGCCGGGTATCTTTACGGGTCGTCGCCGCCGGACAATGACCAGGTCAAGGAGATCAAGTGCATCGTGCTCGTGCCGCAGATCGGCGGCCTCCGCAACGTGCAGCTCGCGCAGCAGCTGCCGCAGCACGAGAGCCTCCGGAGCCTGGAGCCCCTGGGCGTGATTCACACCATGTCTGGCAGCGAGCTTCCGTACATGTCGGCCGTGGACGTGACGGAGCACGCCAAGCTTCGAGACTCGCATGTGTCGTGGAGGGATGCGGATCGAGAAACGTTGACGGTAACGGTCGCTTTCACGCCGGGCAGCGTCTCGCTGTCGGCCTGGGCGCTGACGCCTCAGGGTTACAAGTGGGGAGTGGACAATCGCGATATCCAGAGCGACCAGCCGCAGGGATTCACAACCACCATGGGCGAGAAGCGGAAGCTCCTCCTCAGCCCTAGATACAAGGGCTTCTTCCTGGTGCCGGAGAGCGGGCTCTGGAATTATAGCTTCATCGGGCCGGCGTTCGACGGGGTTGTGAAGAAGCCGGTGCACGTCAAGCTCGACACGCCGGCGCCATTCTACAGCGATGCCCACCGGCCGCTCCATTTCCAGAACTTTGCTGAGCTGGAGGACATTTGGGTGGACAGAAACGACAACTTTGCGTAAAGAGGGGTCTATTTTGTACCAAGTATTTCGATGTATATCCCCTCGGCATTCTCTTTGCTCTCTGCTACACGCACTCTCTCTACGCCTATCGGATATGTCTTTTCTGGTTTTTTTCCTACTCTTTTAATTCTCTTTTTTTTTTTCGGCAATGGTCGATGTTCGAGGCCAAGTAGAAATTCTAGACAGCAGGGGGTTGCAAATGGAGCGAGACGGAAGCCGGCAAAAGCCGCCGGGTTGTGAGGCTTGACGTTGAGATGGTTTGATCTACCTTTCCGAGATTTTTAAGTTGCCATGGTGGTTTGATGGATGTTGACAAGTTGTGATGCCAAGGTGTGTGCCACGTCTGGGAGAAGCGAAAGCAAGCTGCATAATTCCCGGCACGGAAAACTTAGCGGGCCCGGCGGGATGTGTTGGTGCTGGCGGTGGCCTGCGCAAGGGGGAGACAGGCGAGGAAGTCTGTGTCATGAGAAGGGATGGATGTGGAAGTCTTCGATAATCCACATGCCCATCACTCACGAGGCAAGCGGTCCGACAAACAGGCCTACCTAAGCGCCAAAGAGTTTTTTCTTTCTTTTTTTTTTTCTCGATTTGATTCTACAGGGGAACAAACATTCACCTGCCTTGCTGGCTGGAACCGAATGCTTCACAATGGGAAAGGCGAGGGAGGAAACGCCAGTGGACGCCGGCTCCGCATGATCTTTCCATGGTAGAGATTGGCAAATCTGCGCACGAGCTGCATGCATGCGGCCTCGGGTACCGTAGCGTATGCAGAAGGGATGCGATGGGAGCGAAGGTGGGCGTGCATGCATGACAGGCATCAACGGCAGAGCAGCCGGAAAGAGGAAGGAAGATGGGAAAGGGGTGGTGGGTAGGTACCACCGGGGTGGCTGCCCAGTCGCGTGTAAAGGACGGATATGGTTATTGCTGGGTGTGTGGTGTAGGTATTGTTTATGAGGGAGGAGACGATGGGTGAACCCGTTTCGGCCTTGCCGAGGACGGCTTTGCTCGCTCGACCTAACACAAGAACCCGCAGGCCGGGCCCGCTGGGAGCCAACACCTCGGGGAAGACCAAAAATAAAAAGCTCCAGCTGTCTCGATGTGGTAAAGGCCGGATGCGTTCCGAGGGAGGAAGGGGGATACGACACGACACGACACGACAGCCAATGGTGATGACGGAAGGATCCCATCCCCTTGCGGCTTTGTTGATTAACAATTCATGACATGCGGCGGCCGGGCCACCACAGTCATGAATGGGGAAAAGGGCCCGCGGGCGGGTGTGAGATTGCGCGTGTCAATGCATTAATGCGCACACAAGACACTTTTTCGACGACGACGACGAGATTTTGTCGTGTTTTGTTTGTTGGGACCGACCTGGGCAACCTAGGTACCCAGGGCGGAGACCTAGGTACCCAGGGCGGAGGCTGAAGTGGGGGGGAAGGACTGGGGCCTTCGCACGGGCTGCCAGCTGAGGGCTTCAGCTTGGCTCCCCTGTCCGGGCTGAGTGGTGGGTACAATACTGTCGAGGGATTTTTCTTGCTCGCTCCTCTCCCCTCCTCCTGGCTGGCGGTGGTGTCGAAAACGGCAGCCGGGGCCGGCCTTCTTTGGGAGAGGGGGGAGCCACCACCCCGTCACGGTGCCGAGCCAGTCGGGTCTGGGTGGTATGATGGGCGGGCGGAACCAGGTAGGTGGCCCACTGGCATTGCCAGTCCCTCCTTGTTTTCTCTATCGGCTGTGGAGAGGGCATCGCGGCACCACCGCCTCGACGTTGCAGCCCACGGCCGCCGTCGACATGCGATGGGGAAAACGGCATCTCGGTAGGCCTTCCATTCTTTCTTCCTTCCCTGCCTAGGGGTTGACTACCGGGGCCCGAAATATGGCTTGTCGTATGATGATGGAGATGGAGGTGGCTAAGGGGACATGCGGCGCCTTGACGACGGGCAGGCTCTGGTGGTCCCAATCCCACGGAACCGCTTTGCCCCATTTCCGACCCCAGGCTTCCTTCGGGGCTTTTTTGAGTTCCCAGGGGTTAGGTTAGGGGACAGGGGAGGTGTGATGAGGGAGGTTGTGGAAGGAAGGAGGAGAAGACGAGAGACAAGAAGAAAAAAATCCTGCCACCCTCCCTCCCCTCCCCTCCCCTCCCCTCCCGTCCCCTCCAACCCCACCCCTGGCGGCAAGCGAGAAGCGAACGAAGGCTGTTACGAAGGGAAAGAGTAATGTGGCTCGGTCGGCTCGTCGGCTAGATTTCTGTGGTAGATCCCGTGGCTAGCGAGCGACGTTTGTGTGACGAGAATCGCGTTGTTGAGCAGTGGAGATCCTGGTCTGTCTGTTCTTTTCTTTTTTCACGACCAATGCATGTGTAAGGCATTAGGAATGGGTTTTCTCCCTTTTTCTTTCTCTTTCCTTCGTTTGTGCAGGGTGAGGCAAGGCGAGTGTGAGATCACCTCTCTCCAGACTGCGTCACCGGCTTCCTTCGTCCGCCCTGCATCGCCGCCCCATCAAAGTCCCCCCTCCCGACCCATGGAAGAAAGTAGTTTGGACGAGCTGCGGCGGACGGCTAATCAAATGCAACGATATGGCGTTTGGCCAAACGGGGATCCGAGATCAAACCACCTGCCAAACAGTTTCGACAAGCTTGGAAAAGGTGACATTGGGGCTCAACTTTGCTCCTGTTTCTCTGCATTCGGGGCGATGCCCCGAGCGCTCCTGCTGCACGAAAGGAGCCCGGACAAGACAAGGAGGTGGCGGGACGGTTTCTCGAAGCCTTCTGTGGTATTTAGAATGGGTCGGGTGTTAGGGTTAGGGGAGAGGGGAGGGGAGGGAAGGGGAGGGGGCGTGCGCGGGCTTCTGTCGACAGACACCCGGTTTCAAGCCTCGTCGCTCCATCCCCACCGAGGTACCAATATACTGCGTTGCAATTAATGCACATTTGGCAGAAAGCCACACACGCAAGACACTGGTCTTTGGTGGCCCATGGCGAGATGGCTGCACGCCTCGCAAGAGAGAGCCCACGAGACCCAGTCCGCCTTGGTACGTGGTACTCGCTCTGGGGGCATTGAAGCTCCATGGAGATTCCCAAGGAAGGGGATTCCCAAGGATCTACAGGTAGTCTACAGGTGAGTGGTGCTGGAGAGTGGTGGTGCTGGAGGTGTGAGCCTTTGAGTGTGTGGGTACGCCTGAGGCGGCCAAGAACCCTCGAGGCAAAAGACCCAGATTCTCCAATCAGAGAGCTGTCCTGGAATGAGGCTGAAAGAAAGTTTAAGATTCGCTATTCCTACCTCATTCGTTGGCCAATTCTTGTTTCCCGCCCTTCTTTTTCGATTGTTGACGAAGGACTGGACCGCGGCCGAAGCGGGGGTGATGGAGGGACTGTGGTGGCACTGGTGGGTGTTGTCGACACCACCCCTGCGCGCGATGAGGGTCCCCCGCGCCCACCTAAATGGGGCTTTTCTGTTTGATCACTGGCAGTGGTTGTAGCAGGCCCGTGTCGGAACCTTCGGCCGCTAGGGCCCCCGTGGGTCCTGGGGGTCAAATTGGGGCAAAGGACGTCCCCTTGCTAGTCAAATCGCGCCATCCGCAAGAGCCAAACGACGATAGCAAACCCACCACCCGTCCATTCCAAATAGCAAAAAAAAAAAAACCCCCCCAAAAAACCCCACCGGGGCCTGAAATCCACACCGCGGCTCTTTCGCACTGCCCAAGGGAGATCGACACCCCCTCGTCGTCGATACCTGTCGGGCGTGGTGGTGCGTACCCAGCCTGCCAGCCTGCACGCCCTCTCTGGGGCCCGTGCCACCCAACCAACGTTCGTTGGGGCGACGGCGATCTGGGGCGGTGCCCGTCTTTTCCTTTGTCTTTTTTTCCTGTCCTTCGTCGGCAACAGCAACGCATCAGACGGACGCCATCACACGAGGTGCCTTCCCGAACCAGGTGGCCCTAGATCGGATCTAGCAACCGTTGGGGGTCTGGTGTGACAGACACATTTCAGATGGCACCGCGAACCGGCGGGCGCAGCGTCTTCGCGTGGTGCCATCTCGAACGCGGGCAGACGTGATCCGGGCACGCGAGAGATTAGCTTTGCAAGCCCAGGTCTTTGTTGTCGATGCCTGTCTACCTACCTACCTGGTAGTTACCTACATAGGTAGCGAGCAAAGGAGGAGATCTGTGTGATCGGGTAGCACGTAACGTGACCCGACGTGACGTGACGTTTTCGTGCTAGGTAGTACCTACCTGTCTTCGGTGTCTACCTGCCCATCGACAAGTCTGGTCCGAGATTGGGTTGTTTGGATCCTCCCGCCGTCCCCAACATCGGTAGAAACCCTCCGCCACCGGCGCGACCTGACCGTATTATTGCCGGGCCGCTATAGTACATAGCTACCTCGCCTATAGAGCGGGCAGTACCTGTTGTAATGTTTCCTCGCCGAAATCCACTCCACGGGCCCTGGCTGGCGGAGAGCAAAATTGCACAACCCAGAATAAGAAAGAAAAAGGCCCTCTTGCGAAATGAGGGTCTCGGGTCTTTTCTGGACAGGGCTGCAGAGCAACCCGATTGGTACGTCACAGGCGCTACCCCAACTTCGTGCCTAGCTCCGCAAGGCCCAAGTGTTCCCCCCATGCCACCGCGTCGAAGCAATTTCCAGTCTTCTAGAAAGAGGCAGGGGGGGGGGGAGGAGCGCCCTCCAGCAAAACGGCAGGCGCGCGGGACCCAACCGAGAGCTTCGCTTGAGGCATAATTCATCATCTTATTGCCAGGCCCCATGAAACCGTTTCCGTCATGCGAATCCCTGAACCCTCATCCAACTCTGTTCATGCTCCAGCGGGCAGCCCACCCAAAGCCCTCTTCAAGTCTACCCGATACCTCTTTTGCGCGTCTTGGTCCCCATTAGCCAATCTGCCATCGCGCGCCCCCCTTTTTTTTCTTCTGCTTTTTGCTGCAATGTTGGGCTCGCCGATGGCAGGGGATCCATTGCGCCCATCGAACAATCTCCTCATCTGCCATTCCGCAGAGAATGGGAGAGAAGGGCGCATCTTTGCCTGGTCGCACCACTTTTTCTTTTTTTTTCTTTCTTTTTTTTTAGACGCGCATCACGCGACCGAGAGCCAGAGTCGAGCCGTTGTGGATGGCCGTGCACTAACACTAGAGCACCATGTACCGAGACCTGCAGTGACCTGCTGCCGGAAGTAGATGTCTGGTACCTCATACCCACCCGCCTAGGCATGCGGGCGGCGCTGACTGGCCCTTGGCGGCAGAGACAATCGCTGATGGGGCTTGCCGTGCTGACTGGTGGCTCTCCAGCAGTTGGGAGGTTGCGCATCAGGGCCTCCCAGGTCCAGGCCCTAGCGGGTTGCTAGCGCTGCCGGCATCAGCCTGCCACGGCGTGTGTGCAGGCTGGCCGCGAGCTTCCCGGCAACCTCCAAGCCAGAGCCTCATCTTTCTCCCTCCCCTCCCCCTTCTTCCTCTTGCGTATAGGAATCGAGGGTGGGCCAAGATCGACGGGCTGCGAGGCCCTGCTGCGAGGCGACTCGGGTACTTTCTTCCCCAGTGACCAGTCGTATCTGGCCTGCCGGGCCTGTGCTGGCCTTTTGCTCCGACGTGTCCGTCGACGGAGCCTGTGCCCACTCCCCCCCGGCTCGGTCAAGACCGAACCGGGCACTGCCTGACGCCATCACCACTATTTTAGCGATATGATTACCGTCTTGGTCGACATGCCCGGCTTTATACCCTCCCATCCTTCGCCAATCTGTACTAGGGCGGCAGACGCAATTCTCTGGGCTGCCTGCGCTCCAAACAGACGAACCACCATCGCGTCTTCTGCATCGCGTACCCGCCCGCGTGCGATCTCCGTTGCGCCGCTGATATAGCCCCTCCCCGGTCTGATATACCCCCCATACAACCATGATGCCAGATGGCCTACGCCCACAGGGTACCTCACCGCACTGCTTACGTCGGTACTTTCAAACATGCCGAGCGGTACCTCCTCGAGTCGGTACTGCCAAACCGCCCGCCTCTTCTGCCCGCCTCTTTCCCCATCGCTTCAACCCCTCGTCCAGCCCAGCCAGCTGCCGGAAGTTCGCAGGAGTCACAGGCACCACTACCCACTACCTAGCACTACCCCTGGCACGCGCGCCGCATCCACCCCCAGCCAGCCCTCGACCTCCATAGCTGCCGCTTGTTAACTGCTGACGCCAGGCGGTGTCTGGGGGGGTAAGTGTGGCTGGACAGAGAAGGACATTTGCCTGCCCACTCGCTGCTACCTACTGGACTGCCATTGCCCCATCCCGTCACCTGCCGGTGCTCTCCCCTGAGCCCAGTGGCTGGCCAGCGCAGCGCCATGGGCAGCTTCATAGTCGGACGCTACCACCTAGAACCCCTCCTCTTGACTCTTTGAGGGTCGTGGTGGTGACCGTGGTCCACCACCCCCATGGGCTCCATTATTCTTCGGTTGTTCTCTCGGGCGGCTGTTTCAGCATAAAAATTCTCCATTCGGCCTTGATGTTTCCAGGCGTTTTCCACTCCTGGCCCTCTGCTGGCTATTTCGGCAGCACCTAAATTGTTCTTGGTTCCCAACACACCCTCCCCTGGTCGACCCCCCCCTGCCCGGGCAGTTACTCTAAACACTCCCCCACCCGTCTCCTCGCCGTACACCCGCATCCTCTGCCAAAGAGGTGACCAGGGTGTGCTCTCGTCTTGTTTCTATTACGGTTCGCAGAGGCCAGGCATAAGATTTTCAAATTATGCCACCGTCATAGCTGCCCACCCGCTCGGGAACAGGACCTGTCTCGCACACGGCGACTCGCATTGTACGCTTTAACTCTTTCCATGAAAGGAGAACGGAGCGAAAGGTACACCGGTTCTACCCACGCCCCCTGTCTCTTTGCTGTCCTCTCTACCAGGGAGATCAGACGATATAATGCAACCCTTGCCCCCCTCTTCCTTGCCGTAAGCCTCCCCTCATGTCCCGCCACTGCCTGGTTCAAGCCGAAGGAGTACCTCGCTAGCAACAAGACGAATAAGAAGAACGAAGCCGCAGAGAAAGAGGAGAAAAGCAACCGAGTTCAGGTAAAGGAGGATACCCAGATCTCGGGGGTCGCATGCGGAACGGCCAAGACAGCGAACGGGGATCCATCCGTCGTCAGTCAACCGGGACCTTTTTCGGATTCGATGATGCTCTGTTAAAAGGGCCGACCCTGCTCGTCATCCAAGCTCGTTTTTTTTTTTGGGGGTTTTTTTTTCACTTAACAGCCCTCTTTTCCCGGACCAACATCTCAACCCAGAACCAAACAACCAAACCAACCAACCAGCCGACCAACCAACCAAACCAGCAGCATCGAGAGAGACAAATCAGGGACAGCATACCCGCAGCCGCGATCACAACACATATGTACTTTCCCCAAGGTTGCGCAGTAACAGCAGCAGTAGCAGCACCATTACCACGCCATCGTCGAGTCCGCAGCAGGCCAGCAACACCCGAGGGCCTCATCGACCCCTCGCGGCCTGACAGGTCTCCCTCAGTTAATCCCTCGGCAGCCCTCCGGGGCCCAGCATTATCATTCTTTCCATCCAGAACCCGGCGACCAGCCAGAGCGGTCCGCTCTGGCGGAACCCATGCGTCGGCACGCTGGCGGGCAACTACAGGGTCCCGCAGGACTATAATGTCGAGTACTCACCACAGGAGCCGCATCCGGCCGAGCAGAGCCAGTCCACACACGCCTACGACACGCACCATCGAGGGTCCCTCGGGGGCCCGTCATCGCTGCATGACCCCCCGGACCACCACTCTCACCACTCTCACTCTCACACGAGCCACCATGGCCTGTCGCAGCACCACCCGTCCGCCCACCACCACCAGGTCCTGATGGATCCGGGCCAGCTGGGCGGACACGCGGCGCCCCGGCACCTGGGCCATCCCGGGCCGTCGCACTATGCACCTGGACCGTCGCCTCACTCGGTCGTTGCGCCGCTGTATCCGTCCATGGTCCCCACGCCCGGCAGCACGTCGGTCAAGCGCCGGCGGCCCAGCGACCTCGATCTAGCGATCCCTGGCATCCCCGACCTCGAGCACAGCGAGCTGGAGTCGATGCAGCAGTCCCAGATGGGAGGCGCGTACGGGCAGGCTGGCGGCACAGTCTCGACCCACCACCACCACCGCATGCCCGACGCCGCTCCCCCGGCAAAGATGATGCGGCGCGACTCCCAGGGGGGTGGCGGGGGAGCGCCAAGCGTGGTCGGGCAGGCCGGCATGCCGCCTCCTGCGCCGAGGCCGCGAGGGCCCAAGCTCAAGTTCACGCCCGAGGACGACCAGCTCCTGATAGACCTCAAGGAGAACAAGAGCCTCACCTGGAAGCAAATCGCTGATTTCTTCCCCGGGAGGTCCAGCGGCACGCTCCAGGTCCGGTACTGCACCAAGCTAAAGGCCAAAACGACGCAGTGGACAGACGAGACGGTAAGAGAAAACAAGCAACTCCCTTGCCCCTTGCCCCTTGCCCCTTGCCCCTTGCCCCCTATGGAAACATGTTCCTTTGCTTGCGGTCCACGGGCGCTGACGCGACAATGGGCGACTCTAGGACCAAAAGCTTCGGACGGCTCTGCAAGACTATGAGAGGGAAAAGTGGCGGATTGTGGCCAGCAAGGTGGGAACGGGATTCACGCCGATAGCTTGCCAAGAAAGAGCTGCACAAATTCTTGGCACTCCCTTATAGCAATCAATGTCCTCGCCAGGAGCTTCGGTTCCTGGGTCTGGGGACACCACCGCACACTACACGCACCAGGCTCCCGACGCCGGTGCGAGCCACCACCTCTATGGTGGCCACTAAGGGCTTCGTTCGAACGCCCGCCATGACTTGGAGCAACAGCGGCCAGGCCCAATGCGCGACTCCGGCGCGCGTGTGAATAATCTCTCTGCCGACGAGACCCACGACAGTCCACCAAGGGCTTGGTCAAAGCACCAAAGCCCCCTCCAACCTCCCAAGGAATCCGCAAATATCACCCTAGTGGACGGAACGGGGCTATCGGATAGGCATAACAGCAGCGCCCAGCACGACTCTGGGGTGCAACGCTACGGCCCGTAAGCAAATGGGCAGCTGAGGCAGCTGGCACTTTGGCTGCCTCGGACTTTTGTCCCATCTTTGCTTTTTTCGAACCCTTTTTCTTCTGTCCACACCTCGGGGGTTTCTTCTTTCCCTCCCCCTTCTTCTTTCTTCTTTTACTCCCAATTTTGGATTTCCTTTTTGTCACGTTGCATGCGCCCCCTTTCTCTTTCCTTTTTTTCTACCACCACCTTGCTTTCGGGTCCGAAGATCTCTTAGCATTATTGCTGCGCCGGGGCGGAAACTCTCTCTTCTCCCTTGTTGGCGCGACTTGGTTAAGCTCGACTCTACGCGGGCGGGATAATTATCGAGATACCCCCCGACCCGTTGGTGTTGACGCTACCGGTCGCGTTCCGACTCTCCATATTGCTCAGAAGACTTTTTTTTCTCTTCCTTTTTTTCTGTTATAAACCCTGGATGACATAGACATTTCATTACGTATCGCATCGTGGGAAGGGACGGGCTCGGGCCGAGGCTGGTGCAGGACTCCCTGCCGCCAGACTGAGGAAGGGTGGGTGTGGAGTTGAGTAGTTTGTCTTTTCTTTGGCTTGGAGTCAATGATGATTATGGTCTCGTACCGCTTCGGAGGAGTCTATGGGCACCCATCTTCTCGAGCTGCTTCCCCATGGCCTAGTCAGCCGGAGGGTGGATCCGGAGGGGGGGCGTCCAAGAGACAAGGCAGGCATACTCGGAAGCTAGAGGGCATCTCTCTGGCTGGTTTAGGTGACATGAGGATAAATGATGCATTACAGGAAACATACGAATACCCCCACGCGCGAGTTTTCAGTTCTTGGCGAGACCATATTCTAAACACATTTTTTCTTTTTCTTTTTTTTCCATGTTTCTCCATCTCATTGTCTTGGTGTTTGCTCTTTTCTCCTCCATCGCTAGCCACGCAGGACCCCTGCCTGGCTCAGGACACACATAGCCGACAATACCCCACCCAACCCTCCTATTATATCTGATAGTGTGATATCACTCAGCCTTTTTTGGATTCTTTTGCCTTCTTTGCCATTCCAATACCACTCGGGCATTAACGTGTGGAAAAGAGGTGGCGCGGCAGCAGCACGGCGGTGGAGAAGAGGTCGATCAGTGCGCGACTCTAGCCTCGCAATGTCTCCTCCATCCTCGCGCTGCACCACGGCCAGCCGGCCCCGGCCGGGATGCTACCCTCGTGTGGGATTGATGAACGTGAGGTGAAGATTTTTTTTGTCTGTCTGCATGAAAACCGATCAAGGGGGGAGAAAGCAGTGAAGGAAGAGCCAGTCAGTGGGTGACAAAGGCAAACGCTTCTCCGGACTTGCCTGCCTTCCACCTGGCCCAAACCAGCCATCCCAGCACTGGAGAGTAAGCGAGGCGCTCATCAATCGGTTCATGTGCGGGTGGACAGCTGGGTGGGTGGGAGATGCTTGTCTACGCCTCGCTGTTTTCTCTTGCTTTTTTTTTTTTTTTTTTTCTCTCTCCTTTGTTCACTCACTCCCTTACCGCCACTGTTACTCACACTAGAACTCCCTCTCCATCTCCAGCCGTCGCTGCCGTCCGTCCCACCAGAGCGATGTCGGGCGAGGGCAGGCGAGAGGGCATCCATCATTGGGGCGCCAAGCAGTCGCGAATCCCGGGGCTTTCCCTGCAAGGTTACCTCGGGGCTGTCTCTCGGCGAAGGGGCCCATTTTAAGCATCGACAGGTCATATTGACGGCAGAAAGGAGCAACTGCAGGCGGGAGCAATTTTGATTGCTGTCCTTTGTGTTCTCCAGCAGCGTCAAGACCCAGTGGTGCCTGTCTCTCTCTCTCTCTCTC